TTTTTTTTTTTTTTTTATTAACAAACAATTTCTTGGCAATTTCATTATTGGCAATTTCACATTGTGTGTATAAAGATTGCCACAATACAGCATCTGAATAGCTGCTATTAAATGCAAACTGCAATTTACTTGTCTCTGCATTATCATTTATGAATTCCACAAATCTAACTTTCCTTGTTTGCTTTCCTTATTCCAATATGCCAATAACCTCTTACTTAACAACATATACAAGATTACACAAAGTTCCTAACTAGGATAATTGTCCAGCAAATATCCCAGCAGCTGGAAGATTTCCCTCACATTCCTCACTGAGTTTTACAAGCATTTCACCCAGTCACCCCCCACCCCAGCCAATACTCATAGCAGTCAGAGCAAGAGAAAGCAACCAAGAAGGAGGGGAGGGGGGGTTAGGAAGGGGAGAAGACTTGCAAGCACAAAGTTTTTTAACCATGTGATTGCCTAAGCACAGCTCTCCTTAGGACAAAAGATAGAATAGGAGAGTGACAATACAGATATAGATTACAATTAACACATACCCAAAAAGACATATACATGCAAAAGCACAATATACATGCCAAAGCACAATATACAGATGCAATTAAACCACAAAGTCCTAATAATCAACTCAGATCACACACACAGAAACACTCAAGCACATATACAACAACTTAACTCTTTCGTTTTTTATTATTGTATGAAACTAAAATTAATTACGCCAGTTTTTTTTTTCCAAAACTGAACTTAAAAACAACAAAAGAACAGCAACGATTTAATTTTAATATAAATCTGACTAAAAAAAAGAAAAATCGCCAGGGAATATTATGCACACCTGAACTCAATCGCCAGGGATGTCTATGAACCCGACCACAAATAATCAAACTAAAATCGCCAGACTCTCAACCGAGTCTTACTAAATCAAAAGAAACGCCAGGTTTTTCCACCAAACCCGAACTTGGATAAATATGCCAGCGCTGAACCGCACTTGGCAGTATTATATAACAGTATTAAGCAAGTAGTAAAACAGATTCTCAAACAGACACTTTCACACATAAAACTCACACACAGGACGTAGATAGACAAATTGACATGTTCTATTCAAATAAAGGGGACATGTGGGCATACTATATACCTGTCTGACGTTAACCACAGGAAGCCGAGTGAAGGAACGGAGAATAAACGAAGTCCACTGGTCTCCTGGGGGTCTCCTCTCCGGTCCTGGGATTTTACGGCTTCGAGCAGAATGTCAACAACCCTCTCGTTCCTGTTCAGGCACCAACTGATTTAGATACCAAAGAAAACTTTGATTATTTGTCTATCTACTCCTTCCAAATTGATTAATTAATGCGTGCACGCTTTTCCTAGAAGTAATTCACACCGGAGACAAAGTTTCTGATCAGTGAAAAACCTGAGGAATGCTTTATTCCCCGGAGTGGGAGCCCCTTTTAAAACAGAAATACGTCATATACAGAGTCATAGTTAACATACAGTATTCATTCAACAATTGGTTAACAGTCTAAGGGGTCTTGTCTAAACCCCCCCCTACAGGATGTAGTGTCGTCATTACAGACTTCTCCCACCCACATTCCAGCCCCATCTTGGTTACACGATGGGTGGGGGAAGTGAGTAGTAGTTACTTTAACAGTGATTCTCTATTTTGTTAGCTGTTACTTTGCATAAAGGAAGTGGGGGAGGAGTTTAATAAAGAAAGATGTTCTTTTAACAGAGGAATTTTGTTACATGAGGCTTGCTCGATGGGAAGGGGGGAGTCTAGCAGTATGGGAGGAATTTGCAGAGAAAATAGCAACTGAACACATTGTAGGGAGTAAGGGAATATTTACTCTAGCAGCCAGTTTTAACATAGTGAACACAGAATAAATAGACATTAGTAAATAGCCATTTTATTTTAATTCTTCTGTCCATAACAGGTGTAATGGACAGCTACAATAACCCAGTACTCAGAGTATAACCTCTGTAATAAAACATGTAACTGAGCCTTAGAGTGGCTGGACTTCATGTAAAATAGCTAAACAGAATAGTCAGGACTAGCCAGAGTCAAGGGAAACCATAAATCAGATAGACGATAAGACAAAGCCAGGTCAGGGATAACAGAATACAGAATGGTCAAGAGGATAGCTGGATCATTAACAGTAATTTAAAATAGTTTAAACTCACTATGGGTCAAGGAGAAACCACAGATATTGTTCGTTTTTAAACTAACAATATGAAGCCCTCTAGATTCCCAGTCTAATGTTTGGTTTTGATGTATATAGGTGGAGGACCAAATTAAGTAGTCCAAGATAAAGCAGTAACCTGGCACTCCTGATGATCACGGTAACATTGTCCGGGTGAAACGTACGTTGGATGCACAAGTAGACTCACACTGGAATTAGGGAGTTTATTTATTTGATTTATCAGACCCTAATAATTAGGGCATAGCTAGAAAGCGGCTAAGAATAGAGATGTTGTTAGGGAACAGCCTAGCCACCGGTCCTGATCAGGATTTTGACTAATAGATTTAGTTACCATGTGGGCTACTGCTTTGTTTTGAACTACTTAGTTTGGTCTTCCACCTATATACATCCATACCAAACATTAAACTGGGAATCTAAAGGGCTTCAAAATTGTTTACCGTTTAACAGTTTAAGGACAAGTAGGACTTATCTGGTTTTGTGCTGTCTGTTGCATACTAAATGGGACTGGAGCTGATTTTTTTTGTGGTGGGGGGACCAATGTTGCCACAAAATTCTAAGTTAATTTTGAATATATGTCTTTATTGCAATTATTGTACTAAATATAAAAGAATCATTATTGTTTATATTTGGGGGAACAGTGACACCTAGTGGGGTACATTTAATATTACTGACATTGCCCAGTTTTAAATAATTAACCTAAACAGTGACCCCTAATTCATTTTAATTTGAATAAATTAAAGGTGATGTTTTAATTACACCACATTTTCTACAGTTTCTTGATGTGTTGTATGCTTTCCCATCAGTACAGACCCTGAACATTCAAACACTTTCCAAGCCATCAATTGCCATCATTCCACCTTATCTATCAATGTGACATTAAGTCACTCACCAACTTCCTAAATATTGTAGCATTCAACAACAACAGAGCAATCTGGAAAAAGGCCCCTTGAGAAAGGAGGACTAATAGTGCTAAAAAATATATAAAAAAGAGAGGCAGCGCTGATTAACTAACAGGCATCAACCTTAAAAAGGGAAACCCTCCAAACCCTTTTAAAACAAGACAGGTAAAACAACAGAAAAAAGGCTGCGCCACAGAGAAGATAAAATAAGTTCAATAAGTAAAAAGTCCATGTTAAGACACCTCCGGTGTCTTTAAGAGAAACCGCCGTTTAGTTCACCTTCCCCTTTCGCAATATCAGTAATCCATTCGCATAAACTGTAATCCACGAACCATAACCAGGGGAAGCGTCAATCTCCCGACCGGGATCCGTGAAGGGCTCCAAACTCCCGAACGGAAATCCACGAACTGCTGCTAGCCGCCGAACAACGATATCCACCAAGCGCTTTCGGTTCCAATCAGCAGTCTCTAAACGCAAAGAAGAAATCCCCCCAATAACGAGACAGAAGCTCCGCATTGAGGGTCAAACAGGATCTGGCTTTACTGTGGGCTACCTGCCCATATTTATGCAGGTCTCCCACTTGGTGGACACTCCCCTAGGGGACCAAATGGGAGACTGAAATGACAGATAGACAGGGGGACATTTCAGACATACAGTTACAGGTTTTTCCCACAATGCAATATGGCCTCCTCCCCTCTGCCCTGGAGATAATTGAGAAGTAATTCAATTATCTCCAGGACAAAGACAAATCGCCATCTTAGATATAAAACCAGAAAATACATAAAAATACATAACTTGAAAGTAACCGAACACTTCTTATTCACATCACATATCCCCAGATAGCCTGGCTCTGAGTGCATATTATTGGGGAATAGCGCTCAGATCCCACACACATAGTTCAATCGCCATGGAGTCAAAGTTCTTACAGTCTTTCGGTATGCGATTGACTCCATGGGAGGACTATCTGGGTTAAGTCCTTACGTGTGTTTCAAAACTCCCAAACGGCCGGTGTTCGTACGTTTTCCTGGAGGCAGCCAGGCATCCCGTTGATTCAGCGGTGTTCGGCAGAAAAAGTGTCAGTTTTTAGTTCCATGAAAATAGAGCCGAACACCCCTGGGCTTTCATGTGTTTTAAAATGGCCGCTGCTTCGTGGTCGACATACGAACGACGGCCACCCTGAATTCGGTTTAATTGAGAAGTGTCTGCGGTTAACCACAACGTTCTAATTGGGATCAATAGGTTAACCAGCAGCACACTTCTCTCCTGGGTGGCCATCCGTTCGGTAGCTTTGTTCGGTGAAAAATAGTCATTAGTATGGCTGGGCTATAGGAAACAGCCATTTACATGAAAGTGCAGGAAACAGACGAATCCACCACAATAGTCAGACGGATGGTTCTGTCACACGGCTCCCTCCTTGTGGGACACTACGGCAGACCCGGCTTGACCCTTTGGGGGGTCAACTTTGGGATGACCGGACTAGGAGGTGGTGGAGACGTCAGTTTGCCGGGATAACCCATCTGCGTTCCTGTTCAGCTTACCGGGTCTGTAGCGGATAGTAAAATTGTAGGGCTGCAATGCCAAGCTCCATCTCAGTAGTCTCCCATTGTCTCCTGAGACCCGGTTAAGCCAGACGAGTGGGTTATGATCAGTCACCAGGGAAAACTCTTGCCCGTATAAGTAGGGACTTACCTTGCCCAGACCAAGGCCAAACACTCCTTTTCCACTGCCGCATAACTCACTTCTCTGGGTAACAACTTTTGGCTGAGATATGCGACAGGGTGCTCTCCTCCATCTTCCCCAACTTGGCTCAGCACAGCCCCCAGTCCATACATGGAAGCATCTGTGTGAACGAGAAAGCGTTTGTTAGGGACTGGGGCAGCCAAGACAGGGGCATTCACAAGAGCCTGCTTCAGTGCCTGGAACGCAGCTTCACAAGCTGGAGACCACAGGACCTGCTTAGGCAAGTTCTTCTTTGTCAGGTCTGTCAGGTGCTTAGCAATAGTGCTGTAATAGGGGACAAAATGTCAGTAGTACCCTGCCGTCCCCAAGAAGGCCAATACCTGGGTCTTAGTGGTAGGTGTGGGCCAGTTAGCTACTGCCTCTACCTTGGCTGGCTCTGGTCTCTGGCTTCCACATCCCACTCTGTGACCCAGGTACTGTACTTCAGCCATACCTAGATGGCACTTCTCTGGCTTCAATGTCAGGCCAACGGCCCGAATCTTATCCAGTACCACCCCCACATGTACCAGGTGTTCCTCCCAGGACCCACTGTAGATTGCAATGCCGTCCAAGTATGCACAGGCAAATTCTTGGAAGCCATCCAGGAGTCTATCCACCATCCATTGGAAGGTAGCCGGGGCATTTTTCATCCCAAAAGGCATGACCTTAAATTGGTACAGGCCAAATGGGGTGACAAATGCCGACTTGGGGATAGCATCCTCGGCCAGGGGAATCTGCCAGTAGCCCTTACACAGGTCTATGGTGGTCAGGTAGCGCCCCCTGGCAATACGATCCAGTAATTTGTCTACCCGGGGCATCGGGTAGGCGTCAGTGGTGGTCCGCTCGTTGAGTCGCCTGTAGTCCACACAGAACCGGGTGGTCCCGTCTTTCTTGGGCACCAGGACTACAGGCGAGGCCCAAGGGCTGTCGGAGTGCTCGATGACCCCAAGCTGGGTCATCTCCTGTATCTCCTTCCGCATTCCTTCTCAGACTGCTTCAGGGATACGATAGGGTGGCTGTCGTAAGGGGGTCTGTCCAGGTGTCTCTACCTTATGTACAGCTAGGTTGGTATAACCTGGCTCCTGGGAGAACGTCGCCTGCTTCTCCCATAACAACTGCTGCGCCTGTACCCTTTATGTGGGGTTCAACCTGTCCCCTAGCTGTACAAGGGTAGTGGGTAGATTCTCAGAATCATCTGCAGCTGGAGCACATGCCCCCACATCCACTGCTGCAATGTTCTCAGGTTTCTCCTGGTACTCTTTCAGCATGTTCACATGAAAGGATCGCTGGACCCTCTCATCTGTACAGCTGGCTATCAAGTAAGTAGTATCGCAGATCTGCGCTACTACCTTGTATGGGCCCTGCCAAGATGCTTGCATCTTGTTGGCCTTCACAGGTTTGAGCTTTTGCCAACCTGGAAGACCCGTTGTCGGGCACCCTGATCGTCCCATCTTTTCTGTCTCCCCTGGGCCGCCTGGAGATTCTCCCTTACCATCAGGGACAGTTTCTCCATGCGGTCCCAGAGTTCCAGAACATATGGCACTATGGGTGTCCCCTCCTGCTCCGTCTCCCCCTCCCATTGGCCCCG